GTGGGTGGAGATGGAGGTAGTGAGTGTGGAGTTGGGAGGTATTGTTGGGTTGGATGATGGGGTGGATTGGGGATGGCGCACGAGTGGGTTTGTGGCGGGTGGTGTGGGAGTGGTGGAGGCAGCAGGATGGTCGTGATGGGGGGTGGCGGATGATGTGTGTGGAGGTGGAGGTGGAGGTGGAGATGGAGGTGGAGGTGGAGGTGGAGATGGAGGTGGAGGTGGAGGTGGAGATGGAGGTGGAGGTGGAGGTGGATTGAGATGGGTGGTTTGGGGTCGGGAATGGAGGAGTGGTGTTTGTGGATGTGTGATGGGGTGGTGGTTGATTTGGAGCGGGAGTGGAGCGGAGGGGTCGGGCACAGAAGTGGTTGATGGAACGTGTGGTGGGGCGGTGGGGATGGAGTTGTGAGGAGGGTTGAAGCCGGAGGGATGGAGTCGGGAGGGTGTTGACGTGAGGGCGAAAGGGGATAGCATACGAGGTTGAAGTAGTTTTGCACTGTTTGGTTGTAAGGGCAGGTTTGAGCGTCGCACAGAGAGACAAGATAAGAGCACCTCACCTTAAAATGTGTGTGGGTTGGGGAAAAGGCTGCTGCAAAGGTTGCCCCGAGTGCAAGAAAGAGAAAGCAGGCGGCGTCATCCTCGGGCCCTGCAAACAGTACAGGAACCGGGAACACAGCGGGTCCGAACTCGGCACCTTCGACCCCATCTACACACACGGCTGGGGACGTAATGTCCATGGCTGGAGCATTGCAACATAGTGGCAGCATCTCAAAGTCGTTACTGATGTATGGTGCCGATGGGACTGGGACGTTGGCATCACCATCGAACCAGCTGGTAACCAGTTGGTGACCCGTTAGTTTGCATCCGGGATCCGGGTATCCGCGCATCCGCGTAGAGGGGTAGTTGTGGGCGTTGTTGGGGGGAGAAGAGAGTAGTGTGTGGCGCATTTAATGTGATTGGATCCGAGGCAGTCGCATGGGTGGCAGCGACGGAGTGTGGGGATTGTGGCGCGTGGGTTGGGGAAGACGCCCCGCGGGTTGTGGGGACCTGGAAGGGGTGGGGCGTGTGAAGTCCGGCGGGTGGGAGAGAATGTGGATGATGTGGGTGAGGCGGAGTTGGGGTGGGGATAGGCGGTGGTGAGTGGAGTGATTTGAAGCGCAGTGTGAGGAGTGCGATGGAATGAGAGGGGGTGGGTGATGTTGTGGGAGGTGAGGGGGTGTGGTGGGAGAGGTTTGTGTGGTTTGGATGGGTTGATGTGGTGGTTGCGCATGTGAGCGGATGTTGGGGGGGGGAGGGGACGGTGGTGGTGGAGGAAGGGATATGTGTGATGATGGTGATGGTGGTGGGTTGCAGGCTGAGATAGAGCGTTTTGGCGAGGATGGGTCGTTGGACGACAACGTGGAATCGTTCCTGTCCCACGAGGAGGCAGACCCACGAGAATCTCTATTCGGCAGCAGCAAGAGGAGTCCTGCCGGACACAGTATGGACGTATCCAAAGGTGAGTCGGTTGCGAACGAATCCTGGTTGGGAGGAAAAGGTGTGATGCGCGGGGCGATGGCGGAGTAGAGGGAGAAGGAGATATTTGCGGGTAGGCGAGGTTGCAGAGTTTGACAGAGTGGGGACTGGTGAGGCAGGTTTCTCGTTCAACGAGGTGACGTGCCTGCGGGCTAGCACGAGCAAAGTGGTGTGCTGACATTTTTCATCCGACGGGAAGTTGTTGGCGAGTGCTGGGCGCGACAAGAAGGTGAGAAGGGTTTAGCGATGTGGGTTGGGGTGGCGCTTGGAACAATGGTGGGCAGAGTGGGGGCTGCGAGGGGTGGATGGGAGTTGGGTGGTGTAGTGGTAGTGGGGTTGTGGGGGGGACGGTGGTTCCGCTAGTGTGGGAGGAGAGTGGCGGCATGAGGAAATGTGTAGATGGTTGTGGGAGGTGGAAGTGTGGTGCGTATGTGACGGCTTGGTGGATTGTGAGGCTCAGGGGGGGGAGGGTCGTGTTCGGGGGTGTTGGTTGGACAGGCTGTTTTGTGGAACATGGACACGCTGAGTCTGAAGAGTTCACTGGAGGAGCATTCGTTGCTGATCACGGACGTGAGGTTCCATCCAAATGCAGCACGGCTGGCAACATCGTCGTTCGACAAAACAGTGCGGGTGTGGGACGCCGACAATGTGAGTGGTTGGGCGAGGTGGTGGGTGTGGTTGGGGATGGAGGGGTTGGGTGTGAGTTGTGAGTGCGGGGCGTGCAGCGTGAGTGGCAGTTTGGGGTTGGGGTGGGGTGGGGGTGGCGTAGGAGAGACAGGGGTTGGAGAGGGGGACGCGAAGTTTGGTATCTGACGGGGGGTAGGTTGTGGTGAATGCAGCACAACTACTCGCTGCGGACTTTCACGGGGCATCAGACATCGGTGATGTCGTTGGATTTCCATCCGTTGAACCAGGATCTTCTGTGTTCGTGCGACGGCGACAGCGAGATTCGGTACTGGAGCGTGAATCAGGGAATATGCACACGAGTGTTCAAGGTACGTGAGGTGCGGGAGGTGTTTGTGTGGGTGGGGGTTAAATGAGGAGGGTAGGAAGGTTTGGATGCTGGGGAGGAGCGAGTTGAACAAGTGTTGTGTGGGCGATGCGCAGGGGGGGATGACGCAAATGAGGTTTCAACCTCGGCAAGGAAGGCTGCTTGCAGCCGCCGCAGAGAACGTGGTTTCAATTTTCGACGTGGAGTCAGAAACATGCGTGCACACCCTGCAGGTACGTGTTGGGGTGTTTGGTGGTGGCGTTACGGAGCAGGGATTTGCGGGTGTGAAGGGGACGGTGTTGTTGTGTGGGGAGGGTGTCTGTGGCGGACGGGATGAGGTGGTTATCGGGGGAGGGTGGTGCAGTTTGCGGGGTTGACGGTGGTGTTGGTGTGATCGTGCAGAGACATACGAAACCGGTGCACTCCGTGTGCTGGGATGCGAGCGGGGACTTCGTAGCGTCTGTGAGCGAGGATTCGGTGAGAGTGTGGAACTTGGGGTCGGGCGGAGCGGAAGGAGAGTGCATCCACGAGCTGAGCTGCAACGGGAACAAGTTCCATTCATGCGTGTTCCATCCGAATTACCCGTCGCTGCTAGTGATCGGTTGCTATCAGGTGATGGTGGGGGTGGGGAATGGGCGTGTGTGTTGGTGTTGGGTGATGGAATGGGCGTGTGTGTTGGGTGGAAGAGTGAGATTGATGAAGAAGGGGTACGTTTGTGCAGTCACTGGAGCTGTGGAACATGGTGGAAAAGCAAAGCATGACGGTGCCAGCGCACGAGGGCCTGATAGCGGCTCTGGCGTCATCAGCGGCTACCGGGATGGTGGCGTCGGCGAGTCACGACAAGTCCGTGAGGTTATGGAAGTAGTGGAGGTGGGGAGGGGTGTGAGGGGGCTGGCGCGAGGTGTCGTTTTTGGGAAGTTGGAGGCGTGCATGAATGGCGCGGCGGTGGTGTTTGTGCGGAGGCGGAGCAGACGTGGAGGTGGATGATGTGAAGGGAGAGATGTGTGATGTGATAATGAAGTGGAGGAGAGGGGTAAGGGGGGATGTAAGCTAAATGGGTAGGTGAGCGGCGCGGTGGATCCGAGCTGGGAGGAGTGGAGAGCAGGGAAGGTAGGGGCTGGTATCAGGTAAAGAGAGGGTGGTAGTCTGAGGAGGGAGCTTGGTTAGAGCAATGGTTCTGGATTAGAGGTGAAGATTGAAATAGGAAAAGGATGTGTAGGGGGAATGGGCTGAAGGTTAGAGATGGAGCCGATCATGTATTTCAGTGAACAGTGGTGTAAGTTTGTAGAAATGCTATTGAATATTTTTTTGGTACTGTAAGGCTTACGTAGATTTTTCGGCATAGGGCATTGTGTGAAGAACTAATGCTAGCTCTATTTACTAGATGGTTACCGTTGAGGAAGTTTGCAATATGTTAGATTGATTTTGATGTTTGGATTGTTTTTGGTGATATGTTTCCTGGGACCTTGATTGGTTTTAGGAGGCAGTGAAATCCATGTTCTTTATCGTTGTCTGCTCTTATTTTCAGTTCTTTATTCCGAGGACTCCGATCAAGAAGTTTATTTAGTGTTGTCTAGCTCAGTTTTTGAGAAAAGAGATTTGCATAAATTGTGTGGTCCCCTTTCGATGCCAACATGATAAGTCACGATTCGATGCATTATTTTAGCAGCGGAGTTCGCGAGTTCTTATGTATTGCATCTGGAAATTCTTTCAACAACACAGCCATTGCAGATAGCTCTCCTTAAGTGACCCGCGCCCAATTTTCTCCACAGGTGGCAACAGAGCATTCCCTCTTTGAAATGCACATTGAAGATCGTGTTCCAAGACACTGGACAGAATCCTCGCATAAATTCCTTGGTCTCATGTTACCACGACGCTGTGTGGGTGTTGAGGATATTAGTCTGTTCCTCCGTCATCCTGGTGCGCCAGGTTAGTCTTTCCAGTTGTGATGACGTAAACCACCCAATGTTTCCATGCACACGTTAAAGTATATTCAATACTTGTCAACTTCGTACTTAAATCCCATCAGTCCATTAGAAATTGATCCTTGTTCATGAATCAAATAGAATTATATTTTGCCGGGGGATGGATTGATCAAGCCCTACTTATCTTGTTGAATTTCTAATACTTGTCCCAGATTAGCACCTAAGTTTATGCTACTGTGTCTTGACCTAGTAATTGTGTTATTTGGATGCTAATTCAAGATAGCTTGTCCTCTATCTTCTAACATCCACCCTGGGACCTAAGTTTGTAGATAGAGACAAGGATGGAGAGCAACTCAAGCTTTGGCAAGGCAGTGACCTATTTCTTGTGGTTGCTCTTTGAGCTGATCATGGCTTTGATGAGAGCCCCTCGACACTATCTTGATGTAGGCAAAGTTCTTTTTGCTCAATTTGATTGAAGTTGATGCTTGCAATAAGAGTACCAATCTAAAGGTCTCTATCTAATATGTAATTCATTTTAATGAATAGGAGTTAGTGTATCCATAATCAATGTAATGTCCATTGCCCAATTTGTGTTTGATTAAGGCTTGTTTTCTAAGTGCTTTGATGAGAATGTTTGTTATTTGTTCTTGTAAATTGATTCTTGAGATTTTGTTGTCTCTTAATATTTGTTCTTTCACATAATAGTGGTGCAACTCAATGTATTTTGATCTTATATAAAACACTAGGTTTTTGGCAAGCTTAAACTTAATTGTGTTGATATTGTCACATCTCAAATGTAAGTCCATCTCAGTTGGAATGGCTACACCTGTAAGATTGAATGTAGCTTCTTGATAAGAATATAATGTATTGATGTTGGTTGAGACATTAGAGAGGCATAATTTGCGAAGAATCCTTTGTAAGTAAATTGCTTCATTGGCTTCTTTTGAAAGGGAACAATATTAAGTTTCAATAGTAGATAGAGAAACCATGAGTTGCTTTTTACTTACCTAAAAAATTACATTCCAAGTGAAAAACTAAAGTCATTAGTACTACATTTGAAGTCTTTGCATGATGCCCAATCAACATTAGTAAAATTAGTAAATTGAGTAAGTGAAGAATTATAAGTATGATCATAGAGGTGGAGTAGAGATAAATGTTTGTAGAAGATACTTTACTTGAATCACTAGTAGAGAACATGTTTCACAATATACCAATGAAGTTTTTAGAAACTAGACATAAAACAACTAACAAAACCTATAGAATAAGCTATATTTGGATTGATATTTATTAAATAATATAATTAAAAAATAATATGATAATAAAAATTTTGATCGAAATTTGATGAGTAAGATTCTAGAGAGGGGAGGAGACCTTTAGGAGAAATATAAGGGCCTCTTTTAAGTTAGATATTTAGACATAAGTCAAGATCTATGCTGTATATGCATGTTGATGAATAAGTATGCCTTTTTGGAAGAATATAACCTCTATACTTAAGTATTACTTAATAATGCCTAAATTTTTCATTTCATATTGAATGTAAAGTTCAGCCTATACTTAAACAACTTAATAGAGAGAATTCCTAATAATTAGTAGTTCATCAATATATAATAGCATGATAATAAGTAAAGTGCCATCTTAGAGCTAATATAAATTAAGATCCATTGCATTGCATTGCCAATTTTGAGCAAAAAGATAAGAATTTATTTCCTCTAACCAAACATGAGGGCTTTGATTAAGTCCATAGATAGAATAATTTAACTTGCATACAAGATGACTACTGTTGGGAGTTATAAACCCTTATAGTTGATGTATGTATACCACCTTTTAGTACTTTTTGTTAAAAAAATCAGTGACAACATTTAGATAAAAGATGTTCCATCTAAACATAGTTACAAGATAGATAATAATATATAGTGTTGACTATTTACTACATGAATAAAGGTCTCTAAATAATCTCTACCAAGCCTTTGCTTATAGCTTTTAGCAACCAACCATGCATTAAGCTTGATATAAGGAGAATAAAGATCCAATTTAATACAAAGCATCCATCTACCAAACAATGTTTGTTTATTTGGTAGAAGTTCAACAAACTCCTAAGTACCATTCTTGTAGTGAAATTTCAATTTTGTTATAGCTTTCTTCTATTGTCGGTTTTATAGAGCTTCTTCAACACTAATATTTTTGTTTAAACATTCAATAATGTTATGAGAACACTTAGATAAATTAAAAGATGTGAGATACATATAAAAATTGTGGTTCTTTGAAGTAAAAGATAAGTTCTATCTTGGTTGTGTTAAAGCCAATGGAATAAAATGAGTTAAATGACACTGCATAGATTTAAGTGACAGTGACACACTAAGAAAAGATCTTGTATATTGATTATTGTGAGAATCAAAATCTATAATTAATATGGGAGATAAGAAGTGAAAAGAGTAGTTGGAGTTAGAGTCAGCAATAACAAAGATAAGAAATTCTTTGACTACAAAATCTTGAACTGCTTTATTGATAGTAAATGTTTATTTAAAGATAGTATAACAATAAATTAAAATGGATATTTCCAAAATATAGTAAAATTAAAAAATCATGAAACAAGACTAAGAACAAAAAAGGCTTTAATAAGAATGAAGAAATCCTCATTCTTAAATATATATATATATATATATATATATATATATATATATTATGTGGCGATATTTTATAAGACCTTTAATATATCTCTAACTTATAAGACATATGTCTAATTTGCAAGGCAAGTCTCTTATATATGCACCACATGACCAACTTGTTGGCCAATTTTTTATTCTATTAATCATCTATAGACATATATAAAGTCAAATTTCTGTCAATATAGCCTCCATGAAGATTCTCAATAAGATATCATTAAATTTATTTTCTTCTACATATATTTATCTAATTTGATGAATCTAGTTGATTCATGATAAAAATATGTATATCACTAAAAATTGATGTTTAATAATCGAAATACCCTTGATAATTTCTATCTAGTTTCAAACTACATCACAATATTTAAACACTTTAGAATGATCATTGTATTCAATGAGAATACAAATAATAGATTTAATTCCAAGCTCTTATTGTTGTTTATTGAGAAAACATACTAAGATTTGTGAACCTAAAATAAAGTGAAAAAAAATAACAATAATAATAACAATAATATTTTATATATAATATTAAATATAATATAGTAATAGTTGCAAATCATAACATAAAAATTGTGAAACCTTTTTTACCTCCTCAACTTCAATCTTTCAACATCACATGCCAACTAAGCATTCTACACCACCCAAGTTCCTTTTAATTATTATTATTTTATTTGCATCCATCTTATATTTAATATTTGTATCCACCAACTCTACTTCAAACATACAAATGACCTTCCAATAATGCATGTACTTGACTTATGAATCCTTCCAACACCACATACTAACAAATGTATTCTATTTCATGATTAAGTTTTCCTTTCATTTTATCTTCCATGATATTATTTATGCAACTTCTTTCCATTAATCTCATTGAACTACAACAAATCATCTTTAAAAATATAGTTTCTTTTGTAATATAACTTGGTACTAATGGAGTGTCATGGACATATGCATGTAAGCCAATAATTACATGCATAAATAAGTAGAAGTAAGTAAAAGTATGTAAAAGTAAATTAATTCTATAATATTTGCTATAGAAGCTTCTTAAAAGCTTTATAGACACTGATTTGACTTTATAGGTTTCTTTAATTGACTTTTTGGATTAGAAACATAGTCAACAAGTTGGCCATGTGCCACACATATTATTAGCTTGAAGACCAAGCTAACTATGTGGCCCACACATAGAAAAACTTGCCTTGTAAGTCAAAGCATGTGTCCTACAAAGTCAACACATATTGGAGGTCCTACAGAACATCACCACATAGCCCCTAGTTAGA